CACTTGCCATTTACAGCTCCCAAGAAGAATTCTTGCTTAATCCTTTTTTTTCTTTTACTATTTTTTATTCTTTTGGTTTTGTAGTCCGTTAAGGAGAGCCCTGGAGTAGTAATGCTTCTCCGTGTGACCTATAGATCATGGGTTCGAACCGTGGAATCAACCATTAACGTTTGTGTTAGAGGTAGGCTGCATTCATCACACTTCTTGGGGTGTTGCCTTTCCGCCAACCCTGCGTGTACACAGATACTTTGTACATAGGGTTGCCCTTTGCCCTCTTGATTTTGCAGTCTGAGTATTTGAGAGTGGACCCAAAATTTCATAAATTGGGTATCTGTCACAGCCTTTATTTATGTCATTTTGTAAGTGGTAGGATTAAATGTTTGTAAAAATCAGGAAAGGCTCTAATAAAGGCAACGAACATAGTGTGGAACTTGAGAGTAGGGCAAAGGTCCAAATATGCACTCTTACTATGCGAAATTGAGCGCATTTACCCTTCGTTAATAGTTTAGCTCAAATATGCTCTTACCGTCACATAGTTGATCCATATATGCCCTTAGAGTTACACAGTTGGCCCATATATGCCCTTTTCGAAATGGAATTCACTCAAACTAATTAGCTCTTTCTTTAATTGTATTAAAGTGTATTACAAATACTATTTTCTTTTTATTAGTATTTTTTTCCTTTACCTTTCTCTTTTCTTTCATCTTTTTTCTTTTCTTCTAGAGTTCAAGTTGTAGTGTTACAAATTTGAGTTGTTAGTTTTTTTTTTCAGCTGGACATTTTCTATTTTTTTTATTAACTATATATATAAATTAGTGGTGTACATGGAACGGGTTGGTTCGATTTTTTATCAAAATCAAACCAAACCAATTATATCGGTTTGGATTGTACGGTTTTGTTGGATTTTCGGATTTTTTATTACATAAATATTATTTCAATCTTACTTTGTTAAATTTTTTAGAATTAATATATGTTCAGTAAAAATTGAAAAATATATGATATATAAAAATATTCTTATGGGAGAATTTTCTTAGTAATTGGAATTTATGAGATTTGTTAAGTAAAATTGGTGATGAAAATGGAGAAGACATCAGTAATGGAGGAAATCGGATAAGTGAGAAAGAAAAAGGAAAAAAAAAAAAAGAGAAGAAAAGAAAAAGGATGAAAGAAAAGAGAAAGGTAAAGAGAAAAAAGTACTAATAAAAAGGAAATAGTGTTTGTAATACACTTTAATACAATTAACGAAAGAGTTAATTAGTTTGGGTGGATTCCATTTCGAAAAGGGCATATATGGGCTTACTGTGTAACTCTAAGGGCATATATGGACCAACTATGTGACGGTAAGGGCATATTTGAGCTAAATTATTAACGAAGAGCAAATGCGCTCAACTTCGTATAGTCTGAGGGTATATTTGGACCTCTACCGTTGTTAGTATTACTATTAACTTTTGTGTAAATAGAATTTTGACCTTTGTTTTATACAAGTCCTTATTTCCTTCAGCAATTCCAGTTGTTTCTTTTTCTACTATGGTTTTTTTAGTACAAAGACCACAGAGTAAGTTGCTAAGTAGGGAGTGTTTGCAACATTATTTTTGAGTCCAAATTACTGTCTGTCTTATATGATTTTGTTTGATTATTTCAAAGCCGAAATTCAACCAGTCCTCAGGCTATGGACCTGTCATAAAGCCATTGGCTCAACAAGTTGAGCATCTATAGTAGTCTAGTTTCTTCTTACGCTTTCCGTTTCAATTTAGATGAGGTAGTTTGACTCGGTACGGAGTTAAAGGAAAAAAAAAACCTTTAAAACTTGTGGTCTTAAAAGTTTAAGGGGTAAAAGCTTTATGGGGCCACGATATTTATGTGGTTATAAAAGTTTTTCATTAAGGATAAAGTGGATAAAATAAAGAGTTTAAAGTTGAATTATTTATAAAAATGTGTCATAAGAAAAATGTGACGTCTAAATTGAAACAGAGAGTACCTTTTTTTCCACACTATTGAGGTAGTCACATACAACCAAAAGTTAGAATGGGATGGTGGGATGGCCGTGATCCTCAGGTTCTAACTCTGGGAATGTAAAATTTCTTGTTAGAGCATGCTTTACTCTCCTTTGTTGAACTTATTTGGCGCAAATCCCAATTAGTAGGATCAACAGGTTTAAGATTATTGGTCATCAAGAATTCGAACTGTGAAATCAACTATGATGCTTGTATCGAGCTGTTTTTTTTTTTACATCACACCTTTTTGGAGTACGGTCCTTCCGCAGTCCGTAAACGCAAGATGCTTCATGTATCGAGATTCTTTTTTTTAACGGATTTAAGATTAATTCGGTCAATTAGTTTATGACTAATAGAGTAAGTGATTTTCGGATGCCCAAAGCAAATATAAAAAATAAAATATACAACAATATTGAGGTAGTCGCATCGTATTAATTAATTATGTGACCTTTCCTTGTGTTATGGTCCAAGAAGCGGACAAAAAGGGATTTGACAATTCAATGTCAAAGACAAAATGGGCTTGTTTCGTGAGACAAACCTTCTTGGCTTAGACCCATGTAATACTAGCTGATTTTTGGGATTCAAGATTTCCAGTTGATGATTTTGATGAATATTATATATCCTTAAAAAACCTATACACAAGATTGTGTTAAGTCTTTTCTGGGAAAATTTCTTTCAATAGACTGTATAAAACATGGATGCAGCACAATATATTATGGATGCAGCTAAATAAAAGGTCTTTTACTTTGAACTTTACTGTATGTACAGTAGATATAATTGAATAACTGTTGCTACTAGTTTATTAAGCATGGAAATCAGGAACATAGGCTAGGGAAGAAATCAGAGACAGACGTTGAACTCAGAGTGTTAATTGAAAAATGGCAAACCATTGGAAATCACATCTGTTACTGATAGCTGATGGGAAAGCGGTGTCTTCTGTTTATTTGGAGGAGTTACTGACTGATCTTGATCCGAGTGAAGTTGGCCTTGATATCATAGTATGAGAGTGAATTCAAGCTGTATTCCGTCACTTAACAGAATTGTAATAACAACTTCTTCTTTTTTATAAATAATCATGGTGTCTAAGTCAGCTTGCATGCACAGACTATTCTATTGGATGCGTGTTGCCTCTCACCACAATATGTACCGAGTAATAGCCTGTTTGACCATGCTTCTCCAAGAAAAAAATATTATTTTTTTTCAAAGTTAAAGTGTTTGGCCAAACTTTTAAAAGGAAAAAAATGCTTTTGAGTAGCAGAAGCAATTTTGAAGAACCAGAAAAAAGTAATTCTCCCAAAAAATACTTTTTAAAAGTTTGGCCAAACACTAATTGCTATTCAGAAGTGTTTTTCCAATTATTTAGTCAAACTCAAACTACTTCTAACAAAAAAATATTTTTTAAAAAAAAGACTTCTCAAAATAAGTTGATTTTAGAAGCTTGGTCAAACGGGCTATAACTGTGATTACCAAATTTAGACTAACATGATTAGAACCTTGCCTTTCAATATTGGAGCTGGTGTCACGGGCCGACTTTCTTATGCTCGTCAGCGGCACCGAATAGCCCGTGCGACGCCTGCAATTCCCCTCGCTGCAGGCCAGCCTTTCCTTTTCCCAGATTTTTCAAGCACGATCATGTGCCTGTGGTGAAGCTTGCCTAGAAGGCATGCTTCAATTGTGCCGCCCATATGATGTCTAGGCTCTTCGCCTCGACTAGTTGTGGCGGTTCTCGTCTTAGGATCATAATCCATGCGCGCCCTGGGGTTGGCTAAGGACATGTTTTGTCCCTCGCCTGACACTGAGCATCGCTCTCGCATATACAGTCCAATTCTCAAGCTTGACACTCGCCTCGTGCATCCGCACCCAGCTTGTGCTTCACCCGAGTAAGGCAACCTTTAGTCCTTGGCCATTGTCATGTGCGTCTTTCGTGGCATGCCCATACATAGCCCTCGCGACACACTTCCATCATGTATAGTGCAGTGTCGCCCCACAACTGCACGCTTAGGCCAACGGACCCTTGCTCGCATAGCTGAACCCAAGTTAAGCTCACAAGTCGACACATGAGGCCCCTAAGATAGGTGCATCAAGTATCCAATCGGCACAGAGGTCTTTGTCCAACATTTCGGTAGCCCGCGGGGCATACCCGTCCCACACGTCGAGCTTTCAGCGCCCGTTTGGTGCCCAACGCTAGCCCGAAGGCGTCGCCCGTCCATAGAGTTCCCTAACTCGTATGGATACCTAAGACACTCCTTTGAGTCGTCCAGACAGGCCCTTGAGGTTCCCCCTCAAGGCAGCTCGTTTGGTAAGGCTTGGTGGCAGCACGTACGGGGGAGGCAGGTTGAGCTTCAACACCTATACCCCCTTATATATGCTTAAAATTAGAAAGCCCAAGTTTTTTGAGTAGACAGGTCTACGTCAGAGGATCTTTTCTCACCGATTCCGAATGAAGTCACAACCCCAAAATGCGGGTTGTGACAGCTGGTCTTGATTCACATTGGCTTCACAAACTTCCAGTTCTAGTATAAGGAAGCAAGTTTGTTACCATTACTCAATCACCTAATGATAATTCCTCTTCTAAGCCATTATATGGTTTAGTTTCGACCCTTCACATGCATTGGAAATCTGTTCATTAGTTCCTTTGCCACTTTGAATTTCCCTTATGATAAAATTATAGACTTCTCTGAAGGAAGTTGAAAGTTTATTGGTAAACCATAGACCTGAAATCTGAGTTAATAATGCAAATCGTCTCATTTGGAGGGTTCTCCTTTATTCAAAAATTATATGGACTAATGTAAAGATTTGGAGGTGCTCGTATCTAAGATGTGCAGTGTCGAGAGAGCAGCATAAACCGCAGATAACAATTGAAACGCAAATAGACATTTAATACTAAAATACAGCAAATGGTTACTTGATGTTTAAAGCTGAGAGAAGAAATTGCGGGAGTGGTTTCTGTACGTTTTCAGCATCGACGAGCTAAACATCCCCAGAGGTGGCGAAACAATTCCAATATACAAAGGAATCATATCGCTGTTTCAATCTAGTGTGGCATTGAAGTAAAGTTGATTGATTACAAGACATTTGATGCATTTCTTCACATTGTTCTGCAACTGGAAAATCAATGTTATAGCTGATTTGAAATGCAAATTAACTATAGAAAGCGAAGGAACTATAGCATTAACTGAAGCCTCGGAGAAGACAGACGCTTGAAATTGTGATTCTATTCATTGCTACACTTGAAAGAAGTACAAACGCGCTACTACAGTTGCATTAATCCCAGATCTGCGGGAAAAGGCAATAAGAACTCCTAAGCAGTCTCCTCTTTACATCAGAGTAGAAACACATGCTCTATGTAATAGTTTAACCAAGGCCAGGCTTAATTTTCACCTACCTTTGAATGTTGAGCATGGCCTTAGCTTCCATTTGCTCTTCCATTAAATTCTCACTAGCATATTTGCTCAAGAGCTCCATCTTCTTCTGCTCCACTACCATCCTTTCAATCTCCTTCTCGTCCGGCAATGGGACATGTACCACAAATTCTTTTTCTTTCTCCTCCTCCCTCTCCTTTTGCCTCCTCTCCTCCTCGATCACATCCTCTTCCTCCTCGAACAATATCTTTGATCCCAAACCCACCTCTACTACCTCCCCACTTTTTACCGCCTTCATGGCTTCCCTCTTTATCTCTTCCATCTCCATCCATTCTTTCACAGCTGCAGCCTGCATTTTCTTCTCTGCTGGTCCCTCCAACTTCTCCAATATTCCATCCTCTTCATCTCTGTACCCGTAGTAGCTGGCATCAATCCTCTTGTATATGTCATACCTACATAGTTTCAGCAAACAAATCAACATAAGGATTGCCGAAATAATATAAAGCATAAGAAGATCTAAATGTATCCCCACAAAAATCATCAAATAACAAAGTAATATTTACAGCATGAAAAAGAAGTATCCAACAAAGCTCTTTTATTCAAAACTTAGATTGTCAAATACAACAAAATGTAAATGGCTACATTGCTCTTAAAAAGACAAATCTGATTTTTTCCAAGAATGTATTTTACTCCTCCGAGAATGAAGAATGAGCATGGGTGTTGAATATACTGACTTGAGGTCTATGAGATGCCATCATACATGCATAAACAGATTAGAACTACGCAAAATTTCTGATAAACTAAAGTTCATAAGTCATAAATAAAACTTGCAACCTACTAAACTAACAATCTGTCCATATTCCTAATATTTTTTAAGGAAAAAATCTTAACAAGCTTTCTTTTACTAATATCACTTTCGTACTGACCATGCATAAGGATGTCAGTGCAAGAAGCAGGTCATTAAATTGGTGACAAGGCTAGTGGCTGTAAGAAATGCTATTTGATAAGTGTAGCAGGACTAAGATGCCAATCTTAAGTGAAATGAAGCAAATACCACTGCTTATAGACTGGAGCTGCAGTTGTAAAACCTGCTTACTTGATAACTGTGAGCAGGCTGGAAGAAGTGACAACAGAAGGGTTGTCAACCTTCTTTCTCAACTTCACACACATTCACAAGATGTGTTTATTTGTGTATTCTACATATTCATCTTCATCCAACAACAGCACTATGCATTTTTCACGAGCAAAAACTTTCATCTGGTAGGGAAAAGCTCATGTAGAGGGAAGGGCAACTAATGCATCATTCTTCTTATTTTCCTTCCTCGAAAAATCTTCTATGGTTTTGTAGAGGGAAGCCCATAATTGTCAGCGGACTGTGATTCATTAATGATGAACAAATAGACTTTTGGTCAGTTCTCCATCTTAACAATGGAGAATAGGGCTGTTTAAATTCTAATGACTCTAATTAATAAGGACCATCGAAGTTGTCAAAAGCGGAAGGTACAGAAAAGCGCCAACCTTTGTTAAGGATCTGAGCAAAACTATGTCCTACATTCGAAATTGTCAGAATGGTAATATAGACATTTCATACGTATAAAAAGTCTATCATGCCCTTTGTGAAGAAAAAAAGGTAGAATTTTGCAATTTTAAATTTGAATTTGATTCTCTTATCAAATTAATTATGTTATATGTTCCCAATGCATTGAAGGATATAAATATTTGGGGTTTATTTTTAACTTTTTGTAGCACGAGACTTGCGTTGAAGAAATTAAGTAGTTATAGCTCCTCTATTCTTCTTTTTCATTTAGGAATAAGGTGTATAACATGCATCCATTAATTATCGCTTCTCTTCTTTTTCATTTATGTTCATGCAAAACACCTTGTTATACACCTTCCATTAGTTACCACAAAGGGCAACTACTTCAGTTCTTCTTTTCATTTAGGTGCACGGCTGCACGTTATAGGACTTCCATCAAATATGGCTTCTCTGCTTATTTTTCGTTTAGGTGCATCGAAAACATCTTACAGTACACCTTCCATTAGTTATCTTACTGTAAAAGAATAAAGGGGCTATAATTACTTACTTTTTCAATGTATGTGGCATGCAACAAAAGGCATTTTTCCCTCCATTAGTATATTCTATTTCTTTTTGAAATGGAAATAGGTGAAATAAAATAATTATTTTATTTCTGTATGTCTATATTCCCACCCAATGCATTGAAGAAATAAAATAGTACTATCAACTAATGCATTGGAAACATAAAACATAATTAATTTGATGAGAAAATCAAATTCAAATTTCACTGCAAAACCTTACTTTTTTTAATGAATAGAATGATAAACATTTTACACATATGAAATGTCCATAATACCCCTGTTCTAGCCATTTTTTGTTTAATCACAATAATTCACAAGCAGAATCAAGTCCGTATAAAAAGCACCTTTTAACCTATATATAAGGAAATATTTTTAACTTCAACATAGGTTTGAAACATCGCTAAATTAGATATCAGATATGAAATACTTTTAACTTCTTTTAATCATTGAATAAGAAGACAATGTTGTGACTTCTTCCATATATAAGAGACATGAGATTAAGGTCATTAAAAAAAGGAAGATTAATTCTTCTATTTTTAAAAATACTGCTTTTTACACTGTTTTTATTTTTTTGAGATGGACTTTTTTACACTGTTTTTATATCTCAAGATCTTGTATTTCTATTGATTGCAGTTGCAAGAGAAAGATTTCTAACCTATTAAGCTAAGGTTCCCAAGACACGAATTTCCCATCTTTTCTCTATTGCAAATGCAAAAGCCAAAAGAGGCCACTTTGCTGAGCCTTTAGCGAGCATAGAAGGCAAATTGCATGCGAGTGCACCTTAGGAGAAATTTACAAGACCGGGAGATAGATGAGGTGAGACTCCTGCACAAACTTTACAGTTTCACAAGTCTGGAAAAGTTGATCATATAGTGGAAGGATCTTCCTCCCAGTGTTCTTATGTAAAGTCATATTATAATCTATTTGTTGACAAAGCTGTCCCAAGACGCATTTGGATGCCTCTACGGAAACTGAAGGCACCCATAAGTAGCATGTTTAATTGTTGTAGGTTCTCTACTTTTGGTACACAACTAGTATACGGGGTTTCCACATCATCAATAAAATTATTTACCCTATCAAAAACGTAGCATGTTTAAAATTTGTGGGCAATATGAGGACACAATATTGACAGAATTTTTTTTTTGGGATGAAGTATTGCCAGTTGACAAATGAAAATTTTAAAAGGAGGAGACGCTTAGCTATTAGACGGTTTTGTTGATTCAAGAATCATGGAAAGGACACGGTTGTTCCATTGTGTTTTTGCTTCGGAATAATGGGCCATAGTACTCTGCATTTTCGATGTCTGATGGGTACTGCTAGAAATGGTGCCAGATACATGTCAATTCCCTTATTCCATTTAAGCTTTTCATCGTCCAATGGGTATTCACAGGGCCAATGGTAGAAACAATAGAGATGCTAGAAGAAGAAAAATTGTAGAAGACCCGCTCCCTTTACATATTTTGTTCATTATTTGTTTTTTGGGGGGGAGAAGAAAAACTTTTCAAGGAATTGAGAACCCAATATTAAATGTCAAAAACTCTCTTATTTCATTTGTACTGTTTGGTGTGAAAGGAAAATATTCTGTTGTATAAGTAGTTGGCTAAATTTTTGGAAGCCTATTGCATACTTGCATTGATTGCTTTTTACTGCTTGAGAAGCCAAGGCAATCTCAATTGGAGTCAATTCATAATTTTCCAGCACGACCTTATTTACAGAAAATGACCTCTATCAAAACACCGTTTTCGAATATATCACTGACATCTAATAAACTGATCAACCAAAAAAGTCTAACATGCAATTTTTGGCCGCATCACCTCTATTTTAAATATGTTAAGCAAACATGTTTTCTTATAAGGAAATAATTGTATTAATGATGGGGAAACCCCCATATACAAGTTGTATGCCAAAAAGTAGAGAACCTACACCAAAACATGATTCTTCTATACAAATAGGTAGCTTATGGGTAGTATACACCAAAACATGATTCTTCTATACAAATAGGTAGCTAATGGGTATACTAAAACATGTCTGTTAAGCAAACACATGTTTGTCATGGGAAACCAGAAAGCATCACAAACCAATCACAGGTAATGCTTAGACTTTCACAAATCTAAATTGTATGAACAACAGTGCAATCTCCAAACTGTCATATTCATTTATCCGACTTCAAGTGTGTGCTCAGATCACTGAAATGTCCACATTCACCACTGGTTGTTATTTTTGAGAAAGAAATCAAAATATAACAACCAATTGAAATGACAGTGTTTCGTCAATTTAGGAGAGCACGTCGCACTTTCATTGTCTTCTGATCTCCTTTAATTGTTAGGAAGGGTAGGTGGATTTCCTTGGCAGCTAACTCAATATTCAAAACCCTACTTCCTATGTAAAAGTTTCAGTAATTTGCGTTTTGCCAAAGCAAAAATACAACTTAGTATATGCTTCAACTACTTTCAATGTAATCTCTAAACATCAGTACGGCGAGAATTCAAAACCCAGCTGTCTTAGGTTAGTTTTTTTGTTCTTCTTTTGTTTTTTGATGCCCAAGAAACCTGTCTGCAGCCAACCTAGGGACCAACTGTAGCCTCCGAAATTCAGGGATATTGTCCCGCCCCTCTACCTTTATCCACTTAAATGCCAGGCTTAGTTTGCATCGCACAAGGCTCGAACATGTGGCCTAAGTCCCAAGTCCCCGAGCCTTTGCCACTTGAACTAAGCCCTGGGGACTATCTTCGAATAGTTTGTATCATATAAACAAATTAGTCATTTTTAATAAATTCCTATCAAAATTTTCTACTAATTCTGAAAAGCTACTCGTGATACCTAACATAACAGTTGTACTAAACAAGCACAAATAAGGATGCGGAAACCAGATAACACAATGTAGCACGAATGAGGTCAAAATCAATCAATCAAACAACTACGAGTCAATATCAAGCTAGTCAAAAATCACCTATATAAATGCTCGTAAGCATATAAATACTTACCTCGTTCTTCGTTTTCGCAATTCAGGAGGTTTCTCAAACAATTCCCTAACACCAGGCAACTTCTTCGCAGCACCAAAATACCTATACCCAGGACCACGTCCACCCGGGTTTGGAACATCAACAATATTCCCTTCCAAATCCGTCATTTTAGCCGAATGCTTAGTATAATTAGGCCCACCGAGTTCAATAATCCTCCTTTCCCAGTGCCCTTTCTCTCTAATCAACTTATTAATCTCATCATTTAGGTCTCTTAATCTGTGTTCTCCTAATCCTTCGTTTTGGATCTCGGCTACTTTTCGACCGATTTCTCGCATGATTTGCTGCCTCCATTTGTCTGCTTCAGCTAAATCTCGACACTCTGAGGCTAAATATGGGCGCCGTTCTTTTGGCTTTTTCTTTTCTTCTTCTTTCATTGTGATGAATCGATTTAACATTGACTGGGCTTTCTCTTCATTACGCGCCATGGCTGGTTCTGTGAATTGCGAAGAACTGAAACCCTATAGATTTTTCAGTTGGGGATTTGGGGGGAAATCTTAAACCCTAGAAGGAGAGCAATTTCAGAAGTTTATAAGAGAAGCTTTTGGCTTTGTTCAGATTTTCGGGGTTGTGTTGCGGTTCAGTAGTAATCGAGTGCACCGAACGACGTCGTGTGGATTTCTAAATTACTTTTTTTTGTTTGAATCCTAAACCTACAAGATAGAAGGATCAAGTTGTTGTTTTTTTAGTCCAAAAGAAACTAGTTATATTAAGTTAACGATTGCGTAGTACAAGGAGCTAAAGTTATGTAACGAGGCCGGTCGTTTTGAGTATTACAGTATTGTTTCCCTATTTACTGCTCAATTTGTGCTTTACAGTTGTTATATGGCTTGTCGGGGTAATTGGTTCAGGTCCGGTGACGTTTTGGAATGAATTGGAACACTTAGTCCCAAGGTCTAAAGTGAAGATTTATGTTTGGAGGTTTGACCGGGGAGTTGGCTTTTTGATATCGGGGTCGGAATTCGATTCTGGAAATTGGAATACGTCTGTTATGTCATTTATGACTCGTGTGCAAAATTTGAGGTCAATCGAACTTGATTTGATAAGTTTCGGCATTGAATATAGAAGATTGAAAATTGTTAGTTTTCATTAGGCTTGAATTGNGGGGCACATTTTGGAGTGTTGAGGCAAAGCCTCATGTGCAGACCGCAGAGGAAAAGTGCGGACCGCAAAATTCTTCTCGCGGCCGCAGAAAAAGGATTCTGCAGGTTCGATGATCCGATTATATCGTTTAATCTACAAGGAATTTGGAGATGATTAAAAAGCGAAAGTTGTATCCCTTTGAATCTAGTTTTCAGAAAGGTATACCATTAATCATTTGGACATTTGTAGAGAAAGTTATGATCAATTTACTGAAGCCTGGTAGTGTAAAGGCTGTTGAAGTGCGGCCGCAGAACCTGGAATGTGCGGATCGCACAAAAATTGTGTGGTAAGCACAATGAGTGATCAGATTTTTGTACTTTATAAACGAGGGTTAGAGTATTATTTCATAATTGGACTTTGGAAACTCGGTTTGTGGCGATTTTTGGTGGAATTTTCAAGAAATTTATCGGGGTAAGTGATTCTAACTCGGGGTTTGGTTAGCATACATGAATATATCATTATTTTCATCATTTAATCAGTATTTTGAGATGAAAATTTGAGAAAAATTGTAGAAATTTCATAAAGTGAATCTTTGGGATTTGAATATTGATTCGAAGTCGGATTTGAGTGAAACTAGTATGGTTGGACTTGTAATTGAATGGGTTGTCGGATTTTGTGAGCTTCATTGGATTCCGAGACGTTGGCCCCACGAGCGATTTTTGAGTTAAATTTCAGATTTTGTTGGAAAAATTAGTATTTTCATATGGAATTAATTCCTATAATTTGTATTGACTGAATCGAATTAATTGTGGCTAGATTTGAGGCGTTTGGAGACCGATTCACGAGGCAAAGGCATAGCAGAATACAGAATTACGCGGTCTGAGGTCAGTAACATCTCTAATCTTGGAGCTGAGGGTATGAACCCTAATTATACGTGTTATGTGAATTATTTGGAGGTGACGCACATGCTAGGTGACGGGCGTGTGGGCGTGTGGGCGTGCACTGTAGAAATTGAGACTCGGTTGATTCCGTAGAGCTATATAGTAAGTTAACTTGTATTTTTCCATGTATTTTTATGCGTTAGAGAAAGTGAGATGTGACTCATGTTAGAAATCATGCTTAGGCAAATGTTGGTATTATTGGGACCTACTGAGGTCATTTCTATTGTCGAATTATATGTTTAAACTGTAATTTCATATTCAGTCATATTCATTCATTATATATTATATCTCAGTCTCTGTTGTTATTTATTAATATATCATATCATCATTTTGGGCTAGTTTCATGACATTGTGAGCCTGAGAGACTAGAGATATTGATGTCTGAGTGAGGCCGAGGGCCTGATTGTGAGGATAACTATGGGATCGGGTTGCATTTCGCAGCAGGCCAGATTGGCTTATTATAGCACGTGAGTTATCCATGCAGCACGTGAGTTATCCGTGTAGATCCAAATTTGTCCGTGCAGCACGTGAGTTGTCCGTGCAGCACGTGAGTTGTCCGTGGGGAAAATTACTGTTTTCAAACTTACTCATATTTTTGGCAACTTTCATAAAGGACTTGAGTTTTCACTGATACACTTGAGAGGCAGAACGATTTTCAAAAATCATGATTAAGCTGAGCATTTTATCTATGAGTTACTTCTTTTATTACTTGTTTTATGTTGTTATGGACTGTTGTTGGCTATTGGTGTTGGACCGGACCTTTGTTCCAGCTCGTCACTACTTTCAACCTAAGGTTAGGTTTGTTACTTATTGAGTACATGGGGTCGGTTGTACTCATACTACACTTCTGCACCTTGCATGCAGATATTAGATGTCTATGTTGCTGGGATCGACGTGAGCTGGATTTGAAGATATACCTGTGTTCCGGTCGTAGCTGCCTCTTGTTCATGGTAGCCTTAGATTTATAAAAAATCTGTTTATGTACATTTCGAACAAATGATGTATTTATTTCATACCAGCTTTGTAAATTCTAATATTAGAAGTTCATGATTTGTACTACCAGTCCTTGGGGAATGTATAAGATTTAGATATCTTCTTTTACTTAATTGTCTTGTTAAATTTTATTGGAATTGGATAGTTGATAACTGGCTTGGCTAGCAGGTTGGGTTAGGTGCCATCACGACTAGTTGGATTTTGGGTCGTGAAAAGTTGGTATCAGAGCTCTAGGTTCATAGGTTCTACAAGCCATGAGCAAATGTCTAGTAGAGTCTTGAGGATCGGTATGATGACGTCCATACTTATCTTAGAGAGGCTACAGGGCAGTTAGGATAATTTCTCATCTTTCTTTCCTTATCGTGCGGAATTGATTCAGCTTGAAACATAACTCTTTGAGTTCCTTCCACGCATTTGTATGAACATGTGAGCTTGATATCAGATATGCATTGCCGGCTTGTGATTCCATGAACGAGGTTCGAGATGTGTATTCTGTGTTTTGATGATGGGCCAGTCTGAAGGACTTGAGGCCAGGTTTAGACCGCAGCTTAGGCTCGGTAGCTTCAGTTGTATGAACTTGTACATTTAGACTTATATGTCCGGTAGTGTCCCTATGAGTGAAATTTGTGGCTCGATGAGCGGTTGAATAGGTATATGATGAGCATGATGTGACTGTGAAATGTGTTCAGATGGTTTGATTGTGACGAGAATAGTTTGCGTGAGATGTAAAAAAAAAAAGGGCCATTGGGTGCTTGGTGTCTGTCTTGATTTGACGTATAGTCTCGATTATGAATGTGTTGAAACATCGTTCATGTTGTTTAATTGTGGAGCGAAGTAGATTTCCACGTCTTGTTGATGAGTTCGGACTTAGGGAGATTAAGTGATCGCGTAGTGATTGTGGTTGCGAAAGGGTATATCAAGATGCCAATTTTAGGCAAAACATGTGGGTTATCTCATGCAGAGTAATCTACGGAGGTGTACCCCTTATAATGTTGAGTGAAGAGTTTCTTCTCTACCAGCAGGGTGTATGTGTTGAGATTTTAATTTGAATCTGGTTGAGAAAGTTGACTTGACTGTCAAGAGAAATAAATGCGAGCTTAGCGGATGATTTAGGTATTTTATGGTTTGTGTTGCATGAGCTTATGAAGAATTTAGTTCAATTTCACTGTAGTATCATGGCAGCAATACGGTATGGGTATTGTCAGTTATTGAATGTCATGATCTATGGATTTGAGCCAAGTGGGGGAGCATGCTGTTGGCGTTTTAATTTCATGGTTATATGTTAAATTTTAGTTTGGGTCTGAGGCATACTTGTGGTTTAGTTATGACTTGCAGAGGTTGAGATCGAGGATGACTCGAGTAAAGGGATTTCTGGATACGGGTTATGTTACACTTAATGTGTATATGGAAATCATGGAATAAGTTGAGTTTCTATTCATGACAGATGTAGTGTGCACGGTGTATGAATTTGCTCGGTTGCATTAAGGCATGGTTACTTCTTTGGGGTGTTGTTGTACTAATTGAGCAAAGGCAGTTCGGCCCGTTCGGGCGGTGAAATTTGGATTTGAGCAAAGTGGGTGACTCTCGAGAAAGTTCTAATGGATTCAAGATTTATATATAGCAATTGAGGATTTCTCCGGACTTGTGTATGGATAAAATCTGAGATTTGCATTTGATGGTACCAGGACTTTGCGGTAATTCTGTATGACTATGGATTCTACATTCCAGTATAAGAAAGGTAAAAGAACAATTTTAAATTCACATAAGGTACTTTCAGAGTGGGTGTTTCGGTTGTGGTACTTATGTGGGTGCTTAAGAAGAATACAATGGCTTATGGGCCTTATGGTGGTGTCGTTTATGTTAGGATGTCTTGTACTGAGCTTTGGGTAATTATGATCTGATGAGGCTCTACAGATGATTTGGCGGCAATATTCTTGGGTTTGGTGACCTGCGTGGCTTGGTCGAGTTAGAAGGATTCAGCTCTGATAGCTTGGTTATGTGCAAATGGATTTCAAAGCATTTTTGATGGTTTCTACCATGGTTTGAGATGGATATTTTCTACCGGCGTGAGGAACATATTGTGTATTGTGATTTTCACATGGATAGGAGTAAATGGAAGATTTCTAACTAACCGGGTATGTAATTTGCTGGTGACTCAGAATTGATAATGAGATTCTTGTTCTTGTCACATGATGGCATGATAGATGTGGTGTGTTGTGCATGATTAAGATTTACATGTATAAGGTGGCAGTTTATTCTTGAAGGGAAGGTCACGAATTCTGGACAGAATAGCTAGTTTCAGATATTTAGATGAATGTTATAACTGCTCGGTAATTTCTGAGAAGGGTGCGCATTTCAAAAGGCGCATTGTGTTTTGACTTACGAATGTTCATCGGTATTGCGGTACTCACCTGGTTGATAGACTGGTGATATTCCAATTAATGCTATGTGACACAGAAGAATTATGGAAGTATTCCTCGTGGGATGATCGTGGATGGAAGATGTGTTAGTCATTCGAGTGCTGGAGTTGGGATCAGTTAC